ACTTGAATGCGAAGACAAGAGGAAATTGGATTTTGGCAAAAAGGAACTTTACAACTTTCCGCTGATTCCTCTCTTCACAAGTCGTGCTTTGATCCTCGGGACTAAAAGCGTTGCTTCTTCTTACGCGCTCACGTTATAACTACTACAAAGAATGCCTTTTTCTTCCACTTTCTTTTCATGGAAAACGAAGCAAATGCTTTTTCTTCCATCTTTTTTTCAAAGAATATGCTTTTGGCTTGCTTTTGCTTTATAAATTATAATTTTTATTCATGAGACCCAATATTTAGAGTTCTGTTATTTAGCAGTATTTCGAAGCACTTTCTAATCAGGTCAGCATTATTATCGTGGAACTGTGGACTGGATAGAGTGATCTCTCATTTATTTAAATTATTAATTATGTTGATCTTTACTTTCAAATTGTAACTAAAATAGTAGTTCAAAAAATGTTCTGAAAGTGTTGGTTTATGGTAGGTCCAAATCAATTATAAGTGTTGTGTTCTCTCTAATGATTACTGTGTCTAGAATTAGTCCCTACTTTAATCTCATTTGCGCAATAGTAAAAGTAAATTTTTGACAAAATCCGTTGGAAATTTCAAAAATCTATGTGGTTTTGTTAGATGGTTGAAACTGACGTTATAATATCATCAACATCGCTTTTGTGGAACGAGAGGAAAAAATTCAGTGATTAGATGAACTGTTCGCCAGCTCTGACCTAACTATGTCCAATCCGTACACAAATAGGGGATATAGAGTTAACTACTTTCCATCCGTAAATATGGTGGTAAAAAGTATTTTCGAAGATGAAACAGGTCTTATTAGTACAGAGACCAACATCTCCCATCATATGAAAATAATAACAATAAACCACAACATCAATTAAATTTACGATTTAATGACTGATGCCAATAGATGAAATACCATAAGGTCAAATGAGCTATGAGTTAATGTTCAAATAACATGCCCAATAAATTAATTTTTTATCATTTGTTCCAAATTTTACAGAAGTTAGCCTTGATTGATTCCTTCGAGCTTCCAGCAACATTACACTAAATAGAACTTGCGTTACAATAGTCATAATAATACTATAATCTATGTTACTTTCAGTAAGTAATAAATACATTATGCGTAATAGACTACAGCTGTATATAAAAAAAAATAACCGAAACACGCAAATTTGTAGCTTCCCCAACATGTTAATAATAGAGACTGAACGGTCTAGTTTAGCTACTGTTTACTACGTTTGCGAAAAATCTTAAATCATCAAAGTAAACTGCAACCAAGTGTGACACACTGTTTGCGGTTCCCACCTCATCAGCCTGGAATGTTTCTGATCGGCATCCAAATAATTTACTATTTGAGCATATTTCGAACTTCAACAAACCACTAATTAATCGCACCGAGTGTCAACCGGATCAGAATGGAATCAATCATGTGTAGAATGTTTTACTACGACTTATCAGCATTTCAAGACACATTTCTGGCACGCATTTTTCAAACCGGTTTTCTTTATTTATAGCTGATCAAAGTTGATGTGGACCTAAAGCGGTTTAGCGCCATACGCATTTGTAAATTTCCAGAATGATGAGTATAATAATAATACTGCTGCTTTGTATGCCTTTGAACAAACATTATTCTACTGCCCTAATGGGAGTCGACGGTTTAAACATATTGATAAATTCAATCATTTCACAAATTGCCGTTTTTTGTGAATAAATAAAACACGTTAAAATGGGAATTTTTACCGTCATGTACAGCAGCAGTGAGGGTTGAAAGTTCTCACGCTACAGTCTTGTGGGAGAGCAAGCTTCAGATGAATATCATTACTTTCATTTCACTATGAAACTAAGCTCAAAACACCCACAAGTTAATTTACAAAATATATCGCGAGCACCCTTTTATCGACTGTTCAAGATAAACAACTGAACACAAGCAGACGAACATAAATAACGCGATATTGTTTCCGTTTTTGGGAAGGGTTGGGGAAGAACAGGAGTCGAATGTGGAAAAACCTTTGCGTATCAATTGAATGGCGCATCTGCAGGATGTACTTCATAGTTTCATAATTTAGGCACAAACTGTTGTTTCATGTAATTTATTTAGAAATCTTAATGCAAAAATGAACATTGCAAATCCATCAAAGAAGACAAAACTCTGTTTTTTTTTATGAAAACCATTGCATATTGCTTTCAGCATATTGCATTTCAGCATTTCATATGTTGAATGTATATTAACTAACAAAATTGCTTCGTATAATATTTACTAATTACTCGTGATTATATCATAAGCAAAAAAATTAATAAACAAATTGTAGAGGGTGTTTAAACACTGTAATGTTTTATTGCTGAAAGTTTAAATCTTTCTGCGCTCAATATGGAGTAGTCCAGAGAGATAAAGAATACACGATGTTACAATGTTATGCCTCATATCTTCTGAGTCATATGAATCATTAAGAGTCTGTTCATTCTGAGCCATTTAAGAAATAGCAGTTTTTGCCGCGAAATGTACTTAAGGTTTTTTTTTGGGAAATAATTCTGGCAAAAAAAGCTGTGCGATCTTTTTATTGAAAATTAGTAGCTTATTTTGCTTTTTATTCTTGTTTTCACCTCCTAATAATATTGGTTTTTGTTTCGTCTCTTTATCGAGTTAAATACGAAACAAAATAAACAGAGATTGACAGCTCAAATCTTGCAATAAATTTTGGTTTAAACAACTTTTTGCGGAATTAGAAAAGAAAGTTTAATAAATGTGGTACGGAAATTGGGACTGGTCAAAAAAAATTGATGCCTCTCTAAGGGCTCAAGACAAGCAGAAGACTCAGAAAATCACTCAGAAAGCATAAGGCTATAATACCGTACTGCATACTTTTTCTGTCTGAGGTACTGAAAACTTTGACCAAGAACGAATGACACTATTTTAACAGCTCCTACTATATATTTATTATATTTGCTTTTACTTGTCTTAAAGCTTAAATTTTGTCCATGCATTGAACCATGATTGGTTCAATCGCCAAAAGTTACTGAATTTTTAAGCTATGCGATAAATTGGCGGCCCAATGTATATTCGTTAATCAGCTACAAATTCTAATTGGATAGATTTTACGAAATTTTAGTATAATCGAAGCTAAAGATTTCGAAATGGTCACTTGAAGAAATTAACAGAGCAAACGACCCCGAAAAGAGTCGTAAAATTTTAAAATAGGTGTAACTTAATTGTTTATTTCTAACTCTAAATCTGAACACTTTGGAAGTCAGTCAGATCAAAATTTCAAAATCAAAATCAGAAAGAAAGTTGAAATTAAATAAACATACAACTCAAAACTTTATAGAGAAAAATATGAAAATACGAATTCCGACATATTTTCTAATACATTATGGTCTGATATTGATTGTATATTTGTCTTGGATTGTTCATAAATTATACACGTGGGATTTTTTCTATTTCCGTGTGCAGGCAATTTTTTGCTTCAATTACGTAAGCTTTTACATTACAACTTTTTTTAATGAGTTAACAGTTGATCAGGCAGCGTCTAAAAAATTTGCAAGAACATCTAGATCAAGAGCTGGAATGGAAATAGGGCTGGAAACTTTTCCTTGTCATGACGTATCATAGAAAAACAAATTATGAAGAAAGTATTGCCTAACTTAAACAAATAGACTAAAGAAAAAAATGATGAAACCTAAATTTAATGTATTAACCTCTTCAGACCCAGGGATAATACACATCGATTTAATTGCTGCTTTTTTAGTAAAGTAGATATTTGGACTTGCAAAAACAAAAAAACAACGTGTTTTTCAAAAATTTTTATTACTTAAAAAAAAA